GTGGTAGAAGTGGTAGAAGTGGTAGTAGTAGTAGTAGTAGTAGTAGTAGTAGTGGTAGCGGTAGTGGTAGTAGTAGTAGTAGTAGTAGTAGTAGTAGTAGTAGTAATGGTAGTAATGGTAGTAATGGTAGTGGTAGTGGTAGTGGTAGTGGTAGTAGTGGTGGTAGTGGTAGTAGTGGTAGAAGTGGCAGAAGTGGTAGAAGTGGTAGTAGTGGTGTAGTAGTAGTAGTAGTAGTAGCAGCAGCAGTAGCAGTAGCAGTAGCAGTAGCAGTAGCAGTAGCAGTAGCAGTAGCAGTAGCAGTAGCAGTAGCAGTAGAGGAGGAAGTGTTGACTGCCAGCAGATGCTGCAGCTGTGCTATGGTGACCAACACTTTCCGCCTCTGATCTCTTCTGCTGCGTGGCAGGGAGGTGGTGCGATATCAAACCCTGAACGGAATTTAACTCAATTACAAAGCTGGAGTACATTCCTTTATTCAGGCCCTCATCATAAGATTACAAACTCTTGCTTGGTTCGAGGCGCGACATTGCTACTTCGGCGGGGCAGTTTGCTTCAGAACCTGTTAGATTTAATGTTCCGAGAACCTTGTGAATAACAAGTCGGGTGACCAAAAGGATCCAAGTTGTCCCGGACGCTGCCGGCGAACAAAAACCTAGGCAAAAGAAGGGCGAGGGAAAGCTTTGGGCAGAGACATCTTCTGCCTTTGTGCGCAGCGACTGCAGTCTCACCTTTTCAAACAAGCACCGCTTTTGCTATATATACATATATATATATAATCTCTGTATACATATATATATATACACACACACGACCCTTCTCTTCCGCTCATCGCCTGATCGATACCCTATTTCTACCTATCGATCGATCTATCTGTCTATCCATCTACCGAATCTACCTACCCATCTCTATGGATATGTATACATACATACATACATACATACATATACATATATATATATGTACACATACACACACAAACACACACATTCACACACACACACACGAGAGCCTTTTATTCGTAAAGTTGGCTTGGTCAGCTGAGTCAGCAGGCGGTGACTCGTTGACAAAGGGTGCTCAGGAAGACTGAAGACCTAACTCCGCTTGTGGGGTGGTGGCGAACTTCTTGTGGGGATCATTTGGCCATCCCTCTATCTGTCTGTCTGCATCCACCTGTATCTATCTACCTGTCTATCACTATCTGACTTCCTACCTCCCCTTGCATCGCTTATTTAACCCGTGCATGTCTATCTATCCATTTGACATGACAAATGCAACACTTCGAGAACAGAAAGATCGAAGCCTCGTAACTTTTGGAGAAGGCTTTGAGGCTTCGGCAATAACCAAGTCTAGCTTTACCCAGGCCCAGTCAGTGGGGTTCCAAGTTTTTTTGAAAGGAGAAGTGAGACTCTGTCACCATACCCCAACCAATCAAAATGCAGAGTAAAACTCACCACAAAAACTCACACGGGTGGTACATGTTGAAGATGGAGAAGCTACAATCCTGGATCGTCATCGTCTTTGCGTCCATACGCTATGGATGCCAAGACATGCGACAACTCCCGACACCCTCCTGCCAACCGAGCTATCTACAGTGCGGCCGGCCACATCCCTCAACAGCAAGATCCCGAAGCTGAAACCACCAAGCCCAGCCAGAAATGCCTATGCTCTCAGGTTGTGACGGATCCTGTGGGATGATCGCTACCGCATGGCTCCTTAGGAGCTGTAGAGGGACTTGCGCCAGATCCTGCGGAGTTTCATCGGATCCAGCCCCTTTGAGGGCTCTTGCGGGCCTAGATCGGCTCTGTAAACAGCTACTATACATACATATATATATATATATGAGGGTTTCTATATACGGACAAATCTACCTGTGCACCTGCACAACGAATGGCCTTGACGATCGCTGGAATGCGACGACTTGCTGCACCGAGGGCTTATGAACGAGCACGACATTCTGAGAGTATCCACCAATTTTGACTATGGCCCCGTGATGACCAGTTCGTTCTGAATTGGTGCTTCCACTAGCCTTGCAACTTCTACCCCCTCAGTATATTCGGGAACTGACATCAAAAGGCCCACTCATTCCACTAGACGCAGCCGGTTCTGACAGTCATCTCCGCTCTTAGGATTTCAGGCTTGCAGGATTCATTGGAATGCCTGGGCTGCTCTGGAAGCCTAGCAAGTACACACTCCCACATACCCGTTTGTAGATATGTAATATATGATGTGCTTGAGCCCCCTCGGTATGCGGAGATGACCACATGACCAAGTTCAGGAAAAGGAGGAACTCGGTGCAAGTGGTTGAGTTCAAAGCTTGTGGGCCGAATCGGAAATCAGGATGTAGAGGTGTCTCAAGTTCTTGGCAGCTGGAGTCTCTACCATTCAGCTGCACTCCGGAATTGCACCCCCTGCTTTTGGGATCATAGTCAACAATCCCCCATTTTCACAACTCAAACTCCAAATGCCAGGCAAGGAAGAGGCGAGGCCCCATGCAAGTAGCTCGTCCTGGCCATCGATCCGGATTCGGCCTCTAACAGACATCATTCAGTTGCTTCCGAAAAACTATTTCCAGTTGCTTCCGAAAAACTATTTCTGTGGTATAAAAAATATAATATAATAATGGCATCTTGCCCTTGGGCCAACCTCCTGCGAGCTCCACAAGGCGTAGAAGCGCGCCCATGCCTCAGCTGTGCCACAGGCTTCTCGAAATCAACGATGGGCGTTCACTGTCACTTCCGCTTGGCCTTAGACCCATCTGTAAAGCGGACAGCAGTCTATATTCTTCCACCAAGAGAGAAGGGCTCTTTGCCAGCTCTTGGGGCCAGACAAGTGGATTTGCCGGAGCCTGTCCGCCCAACGATGCCTGCCCGCTGTCCGGCAAGGACTCGGAAAGACACACCATCCAAGACCTCGCAGGCACGGTGGCTCAATGTCATTGAGTTTCGACGGTTTAGGGGGTAACTCAAAGAGTGTGTGAAGCAAGACTCTCGCAAAAAAAAGCTAGCCCACTGGAAGCTTTGAGTTTATCCTGCGGAGTTTACCGCCGCACACGGGGCGAGCCGCTAAGACTTCAGAGTCTAAGTACTGCTCCGAGCCGCAAGGGGGAGGTGAGGCCGGTAGCTGAGCTTCACATCCTCGAAGACGACCTCGCCTTTACTCGGCCAGGATGCAGCAGGTAGAGGTGCATCGGAAGTCTCCACCTGTTCGCAACTCAACCACCGAGCTGTTTCAGACTGGTGCTCCGCAAATCGACGCTTGCCCCGCCTCTTGGGGGACCTTGTTGAAATGCTGCCTGAAAGTCAACACGAGGCTGTTCTTGCACTGGCCGAAACCATCGAAAACGAGCGAGAGCGAGAGAGAGAGAGACTACATGTTTCCCCACTTGCTGCAGAACCACACAACAGTTCAACAGGGCTTGAGAAATATCCGCCTGAAACAGTTTGTCGGAATCCACAACACCGAAGCTCGCAAGAATGAGGGTCATGTTGTCGGTGTGGAATCCGAAGTGTTCATGACTTCGGCAATCAACCCCAACGCAGGCCAAGACACAAGCGCTCTACGGAGGTGAAGTTGTTCTCGACTTCTGCAGAAAACCGGATAGTCCTGAGAAAACGTGAGCGGCTGGACTTTCGAGGTTTAATCTGAGGCAGAATATGCTCATTAAGTCCGAATATGTAATAGCAAGCCCCATATAATATGATGAGAGAAGCCATGTCGGTTTGCAATGTAGTATGTTTATACGGCTGTATAAGTTATATACGAGTACTCCTACGAATAATCATATTACTACGAATACGATACGAAATAGTACCAAATACTCAGAACTGGTCCATGGATATAAGCCTGGCTTCTGGTGCAGTCGACCGATGAGCCCCGCGGCGGCAGAGAGACCGAGGCCAATCAATGAAGTCTCGAGGCGGTTTCCCAACACCACAACCTTGAGTTTCTGTCTAGGAAATAGGGTTTAAGAGGCATTGGGTTGAGCGCAAAGCTTGTGACGGGTCTTTTCATGTTTGGGTGTCACGAACGTGTCGCAACAAATCCGACTGTTTACTTAGAATTGTGTATGGCGCAAGGATATTGGATAGCACGGCCTTGTTAAGCTTGAGGAGTCCCAACCCACTAAGGCAAAAAAAGCTCCTAGCCAGGTCAGTTCCACACGAAACCTCCGACCGCTTCTGATTCTGTCTGCATGTAAATGAGCCAATACCTGCAACAACAGTAAAGACACAGGTGAAGGCGTACAGAAATTTCGGAAAAAAGAACACTGAAACAGTACTGAATTATTAAACTTGTCGTACGTCCGAGACCCCAGCCACAGCTGCCATCACGGACACGAAAAGGGCGGCTAAGCCGTTCCTTGCATCTTCAGACGTGCTCAGCGTCGGCAACGGGAGTTTGGACTAGGCATAGATCTGGGGTCGTGGACGAGCAGATTATACACTCGTGCGTGTGATGCGCATGTGGTCGGCACATGAAACTCAGACTCTCAGTCTCATGTCTCAAATGCAAGCTCAAACTCATCCGCAGGACATTGAAAGGCACCAGCGAGTGCAGGTGGAAGAACATCCTGCAGCAGCAGCGGGGCCGTCTTCGAGTCGGGTTTGGACCAGGCTGGGCACACTACAAAGAAGCTCAGGCCCCGGGGTGTGAGGAGATCTTCAAACAACCACACATAATATAACCAAGACTTGTCCTCAGGGTTCCTTGATATCTAAGGCCTCTACAAGACGCCCACCTCCCTCCTATACTACACTTCGCATTGATTCGGACGGGATGACTGTTCTTTTGCAACACGCCGGTAGTTTACTCTATGCTGCGTAGACCTGGAAAGCCCTAGAACCTATAGTGAGCTTCAAAGCACCCTTATACAATAGCGACCCTGAAACAACCCCCTGTAGAATAACGCCAGCGTTCCTGTTGTTCTCATCCACCTTCGCTTCGAAATTTCGCAGGGCACCTCGAGTGTGCCAGAGGTTGGGCTTTCGATCGGGAATCAGTGGGTGACGTATTCCTTCAGGTTGTTACGGGTGCTGTAGGCATTGCCGGGTGGCTTTTCTCCAATCCGAAGGCGCGGAGGTGGACCAAGCCAGTAAGAAGCTCTTGGAAGTCCACGTAGAGCGGGCTCCTGCAGTCAATGGACAGCGGCCTGATTTCAGGCCGGAGGGTTCCGTCTGCTTGACGGAAGCGGGTGAAGGTTGATGGTTCATGCTGCTGCGAACTCCTGTACCAGCGGAATCCTTCGTTCATGACCGGCCTCACACTGAAAATGAAAGATGCTGACCCAAGTAGGAGCCATCATGACATGGTCCTTGACACGGATTCCAATCGCTTCAGTTCTCGTGCGCTCGATGTGTAGTACCTGCAGGCAGGGGTCGCGCACCTTTTATCTCTACTCGTTCCTTCCATCGCGACATCTCCGCCACTTCCGGGCCTCCGTACGTACACAAACATGATGCACAGCGGCGCCAGGCCCAGAAGAGCAAAGGGAGACACAGTCACGCAGACTGCTGCGCTGGCGATGACATAAGACAAGCTCGTGAGGAACTCCGCCATGTAGTCCTAGTGCAACAAACTTACACTGTCTTCTCAAGTCTTGCTGGATGACAGAGCTTTTAGATCGAGGTCAAAGATCAGTGGCCACACGACAACATCGATCTCTCGATCTCAAGAAGTGCATGGGATTTCCTGATCCTGTGTATAAGAAAGGCCATATTGCATGCAGACTTCTCCATGCGGGCACCAGTAAGCTACCGTATCTAGACTCTAGACTAGGGTTTCGGTGCGATGACGATATAATCAAGCCAAGGAACCCTCGGGAATAGTCTCATTCATTGTTCAGATCAACCCGAACCCAGAAGCCCTGCGGCCCGCAAGACCAAAACGCGATGGTCCAAGCGGCTGGTAGCTGAGAGTCCATGGCATCCAGATCTCTCGAGAAGCGATTCCTGGGATTGTGTCAGACGTCTGTTCCACAACTCAACGATATAACCCGAGTCGACCCCTCTTATCCCTATGGGCCACTACGTGTTCTCACCCTGCATCTCGGAGTGTTTCCCCTACTTGTCCAGCATCATGGGGAACTAAAGGATAATCAATGGGATTTTCTAGGATATATAGCCCCCAAAAGGGTTATAGATCACCTATGCTACTACTCAGCTTCTCTCGCAAGATTCAGGATGCGCCCCGCCGGGACGACATCGAAGAAGAGGGGAGCAGAAGCTCGGAGGACCTTCTGCACCATATGCGTGTGGGTTCCTGCTGCTATGCGGACAATGATCATGGTGAACCTTAGGTCGTGGTGCGTAGGAATTCAGGTTCTATCGGAGATCGACAAGGTAGGGGCTTAGTTAGGGTTTAAGGGCTTGTAGGCCGCCCTGTGACCTCTGGTGACAACAAGAAGAACATGCCAAGGACACCCGGGGCACACCACGGCACGCAGAAGGCACACGAGCATGAGCAGGATTACTATGCCTCCGTACCCCCCGAGCCAGAAGGGAAGATCTCCGGCGGATATTCCATCGGCTTCAGTCCAGAGCGTGACCCAAATCTCGGTAAACGTACGGCACACCTCCGCCAGAACCACCAGCAAGCAAACAACGGCGAAGAGCACAGCGCCCTGGATCAAACTCCCCCCAGAGGTTGCTTGGCGGAAGTAGCTTGCATAGGCAGTGAGGCTCAAGATGCCAACCTGCCTCTCCTCTGCAATCAAGAGGGAACCATCCAGACCGTTTCCGGCACCGGGCGCTTCCGAGGTGGCGCTGGGAAGCGCAGGCTTCGTTTCTGTTTGGGCCTCAGCGCAGCTTCCCATGGTCCCTACAGCCTCTCGCAGCCACTTGCTGGAAGCCATCGCCTCGTCTGGTGGCGCGATGGTGTCCACTACACCTCCGGGGCCGAGCACGACCACGGACTGGGCATGGGGCAGGAGTAGCGGCAGGAAGGTGTTCGCCACGATGACTCGGGTGCTCTTCTTCAGCACCCCTAGCAAAGCCTCGCTGATGATGGAGGTGGCAACATGGACGTCCACCGCACTGAGCACGTCATCCAAAAAGACTACATCCGCGGCCGGAACGCCGAAGAGTGCCCGAGCCAACGCCACTCTTGCCTTCTGGCCGCCAGACACATTGATGCCTCTCGAGCCGATCTCTGTGGCAGCTCCACCCGGCAGAATTGCGAAATCTGGCAGTAGCTGCGCCGCCTAAACGGGAAGCTTGCAGACAGACTCTTGGCCAAGGCCCTCTTAAAGTCAGATGATGTCAAACTAGCTTGCTCTTTCTAGCAGTGATTGGCTGTTACATTTCATCGGCACTCCAGGGGATCATGTGTTTCGCAAGCTCATCCGGGCCCCTCACTCCCCAGAAACACACCTCATTGACATGCGGTGACATGTTTGTCAGAATGCAAACCTGCAAGCACCGAGAATCACCATGAAGCTGAGAGCCACCCTTATCCCCGAACCCTAAACCCCAAAGCCTTTAGCCCTAAACCCTGAAGCACCCCGTATAGTAGCCACTATAGAAGCCCCTTAGCGGAACCCTCAGTTAACCCTAAACCCGAAAACCCTCAGCCCTTAAGTGCCCATATATAGTAAGCCTTACAGAACACGCCAGGACAGCCGTCTCTCTCCACGCTGCACTCGACTCGTGACAGCAGGAGTGCAGATAAACCCCAACCCTAAACTCTTATATAGAACCCCGTGAAAGGAAGCCATAGAAATCCGGAGTCCAAGTCAGCTTCCTGCCTGCACCGCGTCGCGGTAACTCTCCTCGTTCGCGGACCGCAAGCAGCGAACGTTGTCCTCTGGCTGCCCCAATTGTCTTGAGAGTTGACCCCTCCAGGGCTTGGGGTTTAGACTTTCGGTTTTAGGGTCCCCTTCAACATGATGGCGCCATTTTCCTGTTATTCAGGCCTCAGAGGGAAATCCAGAAAAAGAAAAAAGGGGCCAAAGGGTACTCCTGGCCTTCAAGGTCGCGGACAGGATCCAAGGCCTGATGACTGAGCTGGCTCTCCAATTGCCCCTCAGGTCTATGTACTTAAAAAGTTACATACTTTGGCCCTGAAGTTTCTGTAGTGGAGCTAGATACTATAGTTAATACTCTTAAACATAGCTCGATCGCCATGTATGAATCTACTGTGCTTGGGGGCTACTTCGCTCCAGAAGAGCTGAGAAACATCACCTGCTGGTCCTTACAGCAAGGATCGGATATTGAGCCATCATGCTCGGCGGTGGAAAGCTACTTTTGGTCTCCCTCCAGGCTGCTCCAAGCTTTCAGCTGTTTTGGATCTGAGATCGCCGGGTCCAAGTTGGCAACATCCCCTCCCCCATGACAACCGTCGCGACTGACATGCTGGCATTACTGGCATTACTGCACAACGCTGCTGAGGATCACGAAACCATCACGGACACGGGCCATGGTTGCACTGTACGCGTTACACGGTTATCGCTTGCGTGTTGGCGCATGTGTGCTTTGTCATGGGCATTCGTGGATGACTGGCTAGCACAATCTATTGCATCAATATCCCATGCTCTATCTCGCGCCTATTGCTCTGTATGATACGAACTACTGAGTACTGCATTTATGCATTTATGCAAAACTGAAACCGAAGCAGGCCATGCCGTCGTTACCGTCCAGCCAGGGCCTGGCAACTGCTGCACCTTCTGTGCCACCAAAGCACTCTTGCGCCGCGATGGAGGTCTTGCCACCCACTGCGACCCGACCGCCAAGGCCCACCTGGGGCACCTCAGGGTTCATGCACTTCGAGCTGAAGGTTCAAAGAAGCATGGCTGGTTCCGTGCTGTCCGAGTGCATGGGATTAGTTTGGAACGACATCTTTAGATCAAAGGTCTCCATGTCATGCGATCCACACCCAAATACCTCAGCTCTTGGGTCTTGCACAACAGTCCTGAAGTCTTTAGGTTCGCGGGACAGTGATACCGGAACCGTGATACCGTGTAAGGCTGTGTAAGGCCAACAAAACACTGCAACGGGCATGTCACGACAAGCAAGGAGGACGTCGAAGCCAAACTGAAGTCTCACATCCCTGCAATGAAGTCCCGCACCCCTAAACTCAAAGCTGAAACCATCGATGTTATTTGGATGACAAATGCCTTCCATGCTCGGCCTCCCTTTGACTGAAGCCCTTAACCCTAAACTTCTAAACGACCTGCCTCACCGAGCATGCCGAGCACCAACGTGGTCTTGCCAGAACCCACCGGCCCACACACGACACCTAAGGTAGTAGGAGTCGAATTGGAAGTGGGTGGGTGGTGGGGGAGGGTTTCGACTCACACGCTCGCAAAGCAGGCAATGTCGATGCTGTTTATAATCAGAAGAAGAATACGGCGATGAGCTGATGATGACGATGATGATGGGAATGATGATAACGACGACGGAGCAATAACGCCAATGGTCATGGTGATTCTTGAAGCCACGATTGGAAAAGAACGTGAACATGACTGTTTGGTTTGTCGGCACCACTACTTGGGGAATCTCGGGGGTGTGTCTCTGAAATACCGCAGTAGTTCATCCTCTTCATCATCGGCTTTGCGGGCCGTGGCTGCGGTGGTGGTTTCCCCAGTTACTGCCGCTGCCGCTGCTGCCCTCACTGTTGTGCATGATGCTGTTGCCGGTTGATGCTTCCCGTCAACTCGCGCCGCGCTGTGAAGAGACTACCCTGAAGCTATTTACACTCCAGTCTCCTGCTATCGAAGCACAGAGGTCTCCCGAGTTCAACTTCAGGTTAAGCTTGCCGAGGGTGAAGAGCTCCGTCTTGCCCTCCTCTGAGCAACAAGCTCGTGTCATCAGGTCTGTGGGCAAGAAAGCAAGTATGAAGTTCACATCGCAGAACCAACGTGAGAGCAACATCGGGAGCTTTGGGGTATATGATAGAAGTACAATCAGGAACCCCAAAAGTCTATAAGGAATAGTACAGCAGTAAGCTGTCAGACCCCTATAGTAATCGGACCCGGGTTGCAGCTACAGGCGAAAAGCTGAACATGCATCCATGGTCGCTCCTGAAACCTCCCGCGCTCGAAGCTGGCCTGCAGCAATCAGGAAGGCGCATCCAAAAAAATCTACACCAAGGAGACTTTTGATTTTGGCCTACCCTGACCCCGAAAACCCGGGGAGATTTGGCCAAGGACCTCCACAGAGAGCCATCAAACAACTCTAAAGATCTCCCCAAACTTAAGGAGCTGCACCTTCCGGCCGTCTCCCATGATTTGGCTTCGGGATTTAAGCGTGTCGTGCCTAAGTTTGGGGTTTCAGGGAGTAGCCCTAAATCCTAAACCCTGAGACCCTAAAAAAATAGAGACCCTAAACCCCCCCAAAAAATACCCCCCCTCTGCATGCTAAACATGGGGGAAACCCTTGATTGAAACCGGACTTGATGACTGCCAAACCCTAAACCCTAAACCGTCTGAGACTTGAAGGCCTGATCTAAGGTGATCTGGCCGGCATCTGCCACCGGCTCCTCCGCAGGAGCTGTGACGGGTCGCTTTAGTTTAAGGGCTCCTGTAAGGGATCCAACAGGGTTTTCACAAGGGATGTAGGGGTTCGAGGTGTGGACTTTGGCAACTCGGAACCTGAGGTTTAGGAATCTAGGCTTTAAGACTTTGAGGGTGCAATGGTGGTTCAGCTGCTTCGGCCAGGGGGCTGCGCTTCCCGTGGCTCACGAATCGGGTGAGGGTAGTTTGGGGGATTGGGGTTCTTGCAGAGCCCTCAGAGGCTTTTGCAAGAAGCGCTATATCTGTAATGCAGCACCCCAACCCCTATACGCCCTAAACCCTCAAAGAGGATTCACCGCCATCGCAGCCAGTGCGCCTCTGACCCCAAAACGAATCCATCACCTGAGAGCCAGGCAACAGCCACCACCGCGAGGGGCAGGACATTCTTCCCATCATGCCCAGCCCGGCCCAGCCCGTATTATCACTGTTACTTTTATTTGTTACTACTCTTATAATAATTAGTATTACTATTACTATTATTATTATGATTATAATTATTACTCTCATAATTACAAGTGCTCTTACTGGATTATTAGTGCAATCCGCTTTGGGCTCCTCTTCCTTCTTCCTTAGGATGAGATCCTGGCGCCCCAGGAAGGACTGGAGCCGATGGTACCTTTCTTTAAGCGTGCATGAGTGCGGGTTGTGGTAGGGTTTAGGGTTTAGAGTTTAGGATTTAGGGTTTAGGGTTTCGGATTTAGGGTTTAGGGTTTAGGATTTAGGGTTTCGGATTTCGGATTTTTTCTCGGATTTCGGATTTAGGGTTTAGGGTTCACAAGGTGG